AAATCCGTATAATTGCTGCGTCTCCAGTCGACTGCAGCGATTACTACTCTTGCTTACCCTCTAGTACCAGGGCCACAGATTGACTTTTCACATGATATTTACAGAACTGTCTTTAGATAAATATGTGGTCATTTTACTATCTCTGATTTTTCAATTTTTCCCTACGATCTGCCACCTTGGTAGAGGGTAACTCTTGCTGGACGTCTTGTTTAAACTAGGAGTGGGTGTTAAAATCACTGCCCCGTGTTAGTTTGTTATTTACCTTAAACAAAATACCGCAGTAGGTAGACTTTTAATGTCACCAGTTAAGCATGTTTGATAGGTAATGCATTCCAGGACGTCACGAATACCTTGCTACCCTCTTTGTAATTTGTGAAAAGGCCGGTGTATTATTCGCGCAAAAAATTGTTTTCTTAGTGTGTTTATGTATGTATCCTGCAACGCATCGCAACTTTTCTTTACCCGTTCAGATCAACTAAGTCCAAATAAAGGTATATGAAGCACGTGTTCTTTTAGAAACCACTTTGCGAGTTTTAGCAACTGGTGATAGCTGCAAGTCGTAAAGAGGTTTTTTGTTCAGTGTGACCGTAACTGCACAGGCCTTGAGAGCTCAAAGAGACCAAGCACTGAAGCAAAATACCATTAATGGATATGTGAAGATTAATAAGGATTAAAACTTATTCAAATTAATATTTTTTTTATGATTGCAGTGCTGGTTGCAATACCAAGATGATATTTAGCTATAGTAAGGTTTGTATTTTCACATTAGTAAAATTACAAAATGCGTTAAAAAACTGAGCCGACTCCCACGTATTACAGCAGCCAACACGTTCCCTGCTCTTTGTGAAGGTGTCACTTTACTAGAACATTTTTCTTGTATCCTGAGATTGGGATTGATGTGAAAGCAGCTACCGTCAAAAGTTTGCAATATGTATGATCTGTGCGACCTTGAGGTTATCAATAGGCAATCGATTGCTTGCAAACGGTTTTTGATTATCAAGTGTTTGCTGACAGTGAATCGCTCGGCAAACAGGTAATCTATATCTTGAAGATGGTCTTCAGAGGTTAAGTTACCAAACTGCTACCCTCTACCAGGGCCACAGATTGATTTTTCACTAGATATTAAGAGATATGTCTGTGGATAAAGAGATGACTAATCTCTGTACTGTCGCCTCAGTAAAAATGTCCACGGAATATAAACTGCGGCCCTGGTAGAGGGTACCATACGGCATCCTTGCTGCAACCGTTGCGCTACAAAATATATGCTAAAGCTTCCTATTAGGCTCGCAAAGTGATCGCAAGCGACCGCCAGATTTTGTGGTCGCTAAAAGGTTGCCAAAAGGTTGCAAACACTGTGTGACCCAGTCTTTACATATAGCTGTACAGCACTCGTAGCGAGGCCCCGCCGTTCTTCTATCTAGTAAATTATCTGTAGTTGTGTCTGCATACTAAAATAACGCAAATATTGGTCTAAGAGTGCACTCCAAGAGATTCAGATCGACCCAGAGATTAAGATTTAGATCGACCTTACTCCCCGGGGGTTTACGCTAAATTGCAGTTAGCCGAGCGCGCACCATAGTTAATTACCCCCTTACAGCTTTTACTAGGCGGGACAGACGCTTAAGCCGACTAAGCTGACAGTAATCTAGTGAGACTCCCCACTGGGATAGATCGATCTAAAATCCATGGGTATGGGGTCTAAGATATCATCAGTTTGAACGCTTTTATGAAACGCTGATATAAATTCGAACTGTTGAACAAAAATAATCTACAGACCAAAAATGTATAAGTTCTTTCAGACCAAAATTTAAGTCGACTTTGATGCAAGATAAATCAGTGGTAGCAAGGACACTTGATGGGATCGTTATTGCGTTCGATTTTGAACATGAAAGACTTTCTGTACAAGTTACAACACGGGTCGTCCACTGTATGCCGCATACTAAACTATATACATGTACAAGAGCAAAGTTATATCAAGACGCAAGATGCAAGAAGCTGTGAAAAGGCCACGCTCTCTGGACTTAAACTATGATCCTTTCTCTTCTAAATAACAAAGCTGTCTTAGCCTGAAGACAGGCAACACTAAATGAAATAAAATGGCCTGGACGACACTATATGGTACTATATGGGATGTGCACTGTATATAGAAAACCAACAGGGCTGCGCGCTGACTTATCTCAAAAACGTGCTTGAATGCAACTTATTGGCGCTGAAACTCAATATTTCTCGCCTTACCCAACTCGATCCCTCCCAACAGAAACATCAGAACAGTAATCGCCAGCATCATGGAACCAATTGGTGCAGTGTAGTTTCAGAGACGGTCAGTGTTCCGATAATAACGGAGGCTCGGCAGCTGATGAACTGGTACGCCACTTAGCGTCTGCGCAGTTTAAGCCCAATTCCACATAGAGGGGTGCAAGCTATGCCGATACTTACCAGAATCAGCAAATGCAATACATTCTACACTCAGAATATGGCTGTTGTTTAGAAATTCACAGCCATTTTTGTTAGATTTGAACAAAAATATACGTGTGCAGAAATACATGTTTGACTTGTTAATTTGCGTGACAGGACAACACCCCTCCCTAAAATGCATCAAACGGCGTGCCATCTAAATCAATGACTAACGATACGAGTACAAACGTGAAAACGAAAGTATATTGATTTAACGTGTAAATACAAATCACCCCACGTTCAAGTCGTAAAACGTCTGCTAAATAACAAAAAATTGAGAAAACAGCAATAAGAAGTAAGTTTCAAACGTAAACATCCAGCCTCGATGTAACAGGTTCGGTCCGTCTCCACGGGGTTTCTCGCTACATTGCTTTCAGTTTAAGTGGCTTAGATGTCAGGGATGCCTACTTAAGCTGCTAAACGACAGTTACACTCTATCAACTTCATTAGGCGTGACAGACATCTAAGCCGTCAAAGTAGTTAATTGCAGTTAAGCGAGAATCCCCTTGGAGATAGTTCGATCCAAAGTTGGTACGATAGGGTCTGGGAATGGTCTCTTAATTTTAACATAAGAAAATCTCCAATGAAAAAGTACAAGCATGTAATGTACTCCAGTATGAGATTAATGCATAGTAGTGCATCAATGTACATATCAATCATGAGTCTTCAATCATGCATTTCACTAGATGTAGATTAAAAATATACTAAACATTCTTCTCTAATTTTGGTGACTTAATTCGACCTCATATGCTCATTAAAAGTATGTAAATATTTTTCACATCAGTGTTATCAATCGAAAGGAAAGGGTCTCTGATAATCTGTCATTGAATTGTACAACATAATGTCAACAATGTTTTGCATTTGATGTTTACTTTTATTCATACAAAATGTGCAGTTTTCCTATATGTTTAAGCAAATGATTACAGAAATAAAGATCAATTCATGTACTGTTACATGTACTTCCTAATGAAGTACAAGAATGCTGAAAAAATATCTGACAGCTTCATAATGTAGAGATAAGTCGTATCTGACAGCAATATTTCAAGCCACAAGACACTGCTGCATACATTTTTCCTTGAGTCCATAAGGGTTGATCCCGATGATCAGCTCAAATTTTTCCTTATATCTATCCTTTATTTAATAAAAGTTGCTTCTATGAAAGGTTGAACTTATGATGACACATTAAACTCTCTCAAACTATATCTGCTATTACCCAATGAACAAGAAAAATTAAGTGCAAGATAATTGAACTATAGCTTCTGACAACTCCATGATGTTGGGATAAGTCACATTTTGCAGGATTTCACGATTAGACTGTCTTGAGTTCATTTGGGTCTATCCCGCTGATCAGCTGAAGTTTCCACTTGTATATATCCTTTTAACTTTGGTGTACTTGATCGCGATATGAAGTTTACTTTATTTTATTTGGTTCACCTAGATTAACGCTACTATTCCCCGTCGTTCTTTCCCTCCAACATGGCCGCGGGACTATAGTTACGGAGCAAATATGACGTCACTGAAATAGGCCAATAGCACTAACGTTTATCAGAAAACTTGCCCATACTTGCCTAGACTTGGATACAAAATAGCTGCGCAACAGACGGTTAGTGGTACACAAAACTACAAAAAAGCATTAAACGCGTCTAAGAAAGGCTATTTCTACAATAACATTAATTTCATGTGACTATAAAAATTGAAAGTTTGCTTGGTTACGATTATCTGAAAAGAACTCTGGAACTCTAGAACTCTGGAATGAACATGGTAAGTTCATGCCCCTCTACAACAGCAGGGTNGGAATGTGGACTACAGCATGATATCAGGGGTTTAAGAGGAAATTGTTTGTTTGAAAGTTATCGCCTTTTGAAGTGAATAACCCATTGAAATATGGGCTGATTTAACGTAAAAGATGATAAAATCAAAAGTAAATAGTTTAAGACAATTCCCTGGTACCCCGCTGTAGTGCTTTCACCCAGCTTTATGAGGCCTTTTGAATCACTTGAATAGCTGTCTTGGTTGTAGAGAAAATCCCAATACCGAAAACGGCATTTTTCTCCTCAAATTGGCGCCAGAGCGTCATCCGTTGGACACTGTACTTAATCCCCGTCTTTAATTGGCCTTTTGGGAAGTTTGTTTTAATTTTTTATAAAAACTTATAAGCCCAGGGCTTTGTTTCTATGACTTTGGTCCTTTTACTATAAGTGGCCTTAAGCAAGAATCCCCTTGGATATAGTTCGATCCAAAGTTGGTACGATAGGGTCTGGGAATTAAATTTCAACATAAGAAAATCTCCAATTAAAAAGTACATGCATGTTATGTACTCCAGTTTGAGATTAATGCATAGTAGTGCATCAATGTACATATCAATCATGATTCTTCAATCATGCATTTCACTAGATGTAGATTAAAAATATACTAAACAGGCTTCTCTAATTATGGTGACTTAATTCGACCTCATATGCTCATTAAAAGTATGTAAATATTTTTCACGTCAGTGTTATCAATCGAAAGGAAAGGGTCCCTGATAATCTGTCATTGAATTGTACAACATAATGTCAACAATGTTTTGCATTTGATGTTTATTTTTATTCATACAAAATGTGCAGTTTTCCTATATGTTTAAGCAAATGATTACAGAAATAAAGATCAATTCATGTACTGTTACAATGTACATGTACTTCTTAATGAAGTACAAGAATGCTGAAAAAATATCTGACAGCTTCATAATGTAGAGATAAGCCATATCTGACAGCAATATTTCAAGCCACTGCTGCATACATTTTTCCTTGAGTCCATAAGGGTCGATCCCGATGATCAGCTCAAATTTCTCCTTATATCTATCCTTTATGAAAAAAAGTTGCTTCTATGAAAGGTTGAACTTATGATGACACATTAAACTCTCTCAAACTATAACTGCTATTACCCAATGAACAAGAAAAATTAAGTGCAAGATAATTTAACTATAGCTTCTGACAACTCCATGATGTTGGGATAAGTCACATTTGGCAGGATTTCACGATTAGACTGTCTTGAGTTCATTTGGGTCGATCCCGCTGATCAGCTGAAGTTTCCACTTGTATATATCCTTTTAACTTTGGTGTACTTGATCGCGATATGAAGTTTACTTTATTTTATTTGGTTCACCTACGGTATATTAACGCTACTATTCCCCGTCGTTCTTTCCTTCCAACATGGCCGAGGGACTATAGTTACGGAGCAAATATGACGTCACTGAAATGGGCCAATAGCACTAACGTTTATCAGAAAACTTGCCCATACTTGCCTAGACTTGGATACAAAATAGCTGCACAACAGACGGTTAGTGGTACACAAAACTATAAAAAAGCATTAAACGCGTCTAAGAAAGGCTATTTCTACAATAACATTAATTTCATGTGACTATAAAAATTGAAAGTTTGCTTGGTTACGATCATCTGAAAAGAACTCTGGAACTCTAAAACTCTGGAATGAATATGGTAAGTTCATTTCCGTCTACAACAGCAGGGTAGCAATGGCCGATAAGATCAGGAAGGACGCACTCCATACTGGCGCGTTACTGCCCGAAGTGAAAGGTGTGCTTTTCAAGCTGTTGCATTCGTTCCCGTTACAGGTGCAGTACTCCATGTCGATCCCGAAGTCCCCGAGTCCCATTGCCTTCAGTGAATCGAGAGGGAATAGCTGAGTAATGGCCGAATCCTCCTGCGTCAGTTTCACGCATTTTTTCTCCGTTTCTATTCCGGCGCATCCGCGTTGGGCCATTTTCATAGTTACGGACGTGTCTCTCTGAAATTAAAGAGAATATCGAAGATTAGCCTATAAGAAATAGCTTGTTCACAGCACATTGTTCTTTCCCTGTATCATGTTCCCTCTACCAGGGCCGCAGCTATAACCCTGTGGACATTTTTGCTGAGGCGACCCTGTAACGTTTGGACAGATGTGAGCAATTAAAAATGCACGCGTACAGATGGCATTGTACCTGCTCTGCAGGAGCTCAGTGAGAGCTATGCTTCACGTCGATGTGATTATCGCTTGTTACGCAACCTGCCTTGTGTTTTCTGTCTGCTAAGGGGTTGTGTTTATTGTCACAGATGAGCAATTGACTGTCTTGATTACTCCCAAGGGGACCTGGCAGGGACATGCTAAGTGAGAGTGCCTGAGTAGATATGCAAACAATTACCAGCCATGTAATCATCCTTGAGATTTCAGCACAGGGTGACAGTACAGAGCTTAGCCATCTGTTTAACCAGAGACGTATCTCTTAATATCTAGTGAAAAATCAATCTATTACCCTGGTAGAGGGTAGTCACCATGAGAGTCAGAGAAATTTGTGTTATCAAACAATTCACTGGTACAAACAATACTGGAAAAGTACATAGTCAAACACTTGATATAGCGGGGGGTCTTGTCACGTTCAGATATGATGCTCATTACGTTTATTTGCACACGTCCTTCACACATTGATTTTTTTTCAATTACAATGATGTTCTAATAATCCTTTTTTCCAGATGTAATTTCAAAATAATTTTGATCTTCAAAGATGGGTCGCCCGAAAATATCCGGTTGCAACAACATTTATTAACCTCTGCGTTCCAAGTTTTGCCAGTTGTTACTAGTTTGCAATTCATTGTCGACCTCTAAAACCAGCCCTCTCTGGCTTTGAGCACCCATCATTTCCCCCCCCCCCCTTTTATGAACATCCGTACTAGCCCGTAGCTCTCCTGATTTTACTAGTATTTCACTCAGTTTTATCAACTGTGGACTATGTTCTAGGGATAACTATACTTACCATACTCATAGTGACAGTTGCTCCAATGTTTTGACAAGAACCTTCGCAGGACATGGTGCGAGTCTCGGATCCTTTGTCCAGACACTCGGGTACACTGGCTGCTTGGGTGATTTGATCGAAGTTCTTCTGCATCTGGCTGTCTGATGTTTCGTACTTCATGTAAGTGCACACGTGACACTGGGTAGTCGGGGCTGTAAAAAGACAACCAAGGTTTCCAGTTTTAAATGGAAATCGCATTCAAATCACGTTAGCTTTTGAATGTATTATAAGTCAGTCAATTCAACTCCGCTGGTTTGATGACCATTTGATCAGATAATTTAAATATGTTGAAATAAACACAACCACGCTAGGGAGCGTTTTGTGACGTCACAGTGTAGCTAAGGTTTAAAATTATTTTAGCACTGGGACCCAAAGCAGGTATGACGTCACATGTAATACTAATGGCGTTTTTTTAATGTTTTGAAATTCACACGTGTACTTCTATACCCATTTTCCAGTCGTTTAACTTTGGCAATTATACCAAGTGCATTCAAAAGCACATTTAGGGTGAGGTTGTCGATTTTACCTTTGGGAAGTGCAGGTAGAGACGACACATCCTGCGTACAGCTGTCGCTATTGCAAAAACACATCTTCCCAGAGACTTCCTGTCCCACGTCCAGGCCGCCTCCCAGAACACCTTGGATGTTCTGAGCGTCGTTCGAACTTATAGTTTTGCATCCTTCATTCACGCTCTTTGAGGGATTGCAACTTCGAACCACAACACCAATGCTCATGGGGTTTCCCTGCAACCAAGACCAATGCTTATGCGCAGTGAATAGATAGAACTATCACAAATTCAAGAATTTGGCTTTCGTTTAACTTACACATGGAATGCAAGAATGGCTCTGCTCCTTTCACATCTTCTAACTAACTAAACACTAACTAACTCAAAACTCACATCTCAAACATTTTCCTTAATGGATTCCTATGTAATTGTTTTGTTAGATTGGGTTCTCATACCTAGATCCACCTAACAGAATCGATCCATCTCAGATGGGATTCTATTTAAGTGCTTTCACCTTAAGCGGCTTAGATGTCTGACACGCCTATTGGAGCTGCTAAACGATAATTAATTACCCTCTAGCAGCTTTAGTAGGCGTGACAGACATCTAAGCCGATTAAGTTGATTGCAATTAAGCGAGAATCCCCCCTGAGATAGAACGATCCACAGTAAGTATGACAAGGTCTGGGAATGGGCCCTTATAAGTTTTAACTGCGTGCTTGTAAAGAAAGAATTTACAGGTGTAACAATTCAATATATCTCTGAACAATCCAAGGTATTTCTGGTTACAAACTTACGGCAATCTGGGTCGTTGTGTTGACTTCAGCATACGCGCAGGAACCGTCGCAGCTAATTGTCTTAGTTACAGAGGTAGGGTTCTTGGCGCACTCAGCGTCCATCATACTTGAATACATGTTTTGAATAGCACCTTGGACATCCGCATCACCACTTGTAGCGGTCAGATACATACACTGTGTGCACTCCAGTGCCTCCCCTGTAAATAATAATAATAACAATAATAATAATAATAATAATAATAAAACTATGACAGTTTAATTTTTCTGCTACAAACTCTTTGTCTGCATGGAATAACAACAGTATGTTTTGAATTACACTCTTCCTAAAAATGCTGCAATATTATGAAATAATTTTTCAGTTCTCTCTGATTACTGCCACATAACCTTTGATGTTGCAGGCTGTAGCATTGACCAATAAACAATGCTCAAATTAAGAAATTGGACTGAAACTCCTAGTTAATTAAAATAGTGTACCCTATATAACAAATCTGGACAGAATGGCAGGCCACATAAACACTAATGAACTAATCGCTGGTACATGTATTTGCAGTTACAAGGCAATTTTGCTCTGCACATTTGAAGGGTGCCAACTCTTCCACCTGGAGCCCGAAGGGGAATTTGAAAACTTTGGTGGATGTCGTGTTTTGCGTGAAAACGAAGGGACAGTGTTGGAATCACTCAAGGAACTGTCTGTTAAGTTTTTCAGCGGCATCGTACAAATCCACGTGCGCCACCAGGCGGCAGCACTGGTTGTCCCTGTAAAACTAGTGTATATGGCTGGGTTCCCATTCCTAAATCGATTTAACAGGATCGATCGATCTCTGAATTGCTTTCAGCTTGATATGTTTGTCACGCCTACTGAAGCAGCTAAACTATAATTAACTTCCTCCTACCAGCTTCAGTTAGCGTGACAGACCACTAAGCCGCTTACGTTATTGCAATTTAGCAAGAACCCCCTTGGAGAAAGAACGATCCACTGTATGTAGGATAGGGTCTGGGAATGTTCTCTAAGGGTCGTATACCCTTCCAAATGTGTCGTCACGTGTCGTCATTGTCAGCACCTTCTCTCTGGGACAGTGGTACAAGTAAAATGCACAAAAACCCGAGTTTCCAGAGGAACGCTCAACAGCAGACCCCCGCTTCGTGACGTGGACCAAGGTGCACTGCTTAGAAAACATTTTGACCAAGCGGAGGAAGAGCCGAATGGACCAGACAGCTCCACTGACGTGAAATGCGTCATTAGAGAAAGGAATTGCATGTATATAGAAGTATATAATTCCACGATTGGCGGAATATTTCTACTGATGTCAAAGCGACTTTTTTCTTCATGGCGTATTTGGTCAGCGTACCTTTTCAAAATCTCTTATGGCACTTCTCGTTTTTAATAACCCCATAACAGTAACATTCAATTCCATTTATGGAACCTAATTATGTCTTGAAATAAAACTTAAAAAATTAAAATACGGTCTGAGTGCCTTTCATTCTTGTTTATCGCTATACGTGATTTGGCAGGACATATTTCAGTGTACCAGAGACAAAGGGACCATTCCCAGACCCTATCGCACTAAGGCACCGTTCACATGAAAAATCTAAATTCTAAAAATCCAAAAATCCATTGGCGGTACCTAGTGATCACGGTCTGTGCCCTGAATACCCTGCGGCGTGCCGAACTGTGGATCGATCTATCTCCAAGGGGTTTCTCACTAAATTGCAGTCAACTTAAGCGGCTTAGATGTCTGTCACGCCTACTAAAGCTGCTAGGGGGGAATTAATTATAGTTTAGCAGCTCCAGTAGGCGTGTCAGACATCTAAGCTGCTTAAGCTGAAAGCAATTTAGCGAGAAACCTTGGAGAAACCTTGGAGATGGATCGATCCTGTTAGATCGATCTAGGTATGGGAACCCGGTCAAAAGCTTGCCTTGTGGGCCATTAAAGAATAGCATTTTTCTCTCGGATTTTTATTGCATTTTTCAGAAATTAAGTTAAAAGCCGATCTGTCGGTCGATTGATTTAATGCCCCTCTGGTATCTGATATGTTTACACGGTATTGGATTCCAGCTCACCTCGCATAAGTTGATATTAACCTCCTGTCATATTCAATCCTTCACATCAGTGGCACCATACTTTATTAGACCCCATTCACATACCTAGATCGATCTAGCGGGATCGATCCATCTCCGAAGGGATTCTCGCTAAATTGCTTTCAACTTTAGCGGCTTAGTTGGCTGGCACGCCTACTAAAGCTGCTAAACGAAAGTTAATTACCTCCTAACAGCTTCGGTAAGCGTGTCAGACATTAGAGCCGCTAAAGCTAAGGACAATTTATCGAGAAAACCCCTCGGAGATGGACCGATCCCGTTAGTTTTATCTAGGTATGGGAATGGGGTCTTAACCGCTCTCGATCGTTATCAGCTTTATGGAAAATCTCGTATTATTGTAATTGTTATTCACTTTATTTGGTTTACTCTGTGCTGTCGATACCTCGAAGAACAAACACATCGATGCATATCATAAAAAGTTGACCTAGATTCCACCCTTCACCCCGGTCAAGCCAGACAGAGTAATCAATCATAGCCTACATCTTAATGTTTTTCCTGTTGGCCTGTGCCATCTCCATTGTCCATCTATAAGAAACATTCGTGATTAATCAAATTTATAGTTCATATTTCTGTTGGCATATATTATTAATCTGCTTCAGTGCAACAGTATAGATGTAGGCCGCATTTAATATGAGGGTTTGCAGACATTTCTCAGTTCAAAGGCCATGGCACAGCCGTGTTTCGCACCGTACTTAAGATGTTCAGTATGAGATAAACTATTTCTCCATGGGATGCGTGTCTATATATACTTTTACCTTTCCTGTCGGCTAGACGGGTCTTGCGCGTTCTTTCGCTTTATTTATCTGCTTTGTGTGCTAATTAACTTTCGCTTTTTTAGCAGATTTTATCCACTGTTATACAGATAAGATGTAGACTGTGTCACATTTTGCTTTGAAACTTGAAAGACTGATTCAAAGGTCTAATGTACAGATCAAGTTCAAAATTGGTTTACTTTTGTTGAAGTTATGCTGCCTTTTTTTTGTATATACATGAAAGTGGGTGAGAAGAAATAATTATAAATAGTGCTCATGTTTTTTCATTATATAATTCACGCGGTCCAGTGATGGACTATCTGCCACGACCATCTCAAGAAAACGTGTCAACGCACTTAAACTATTTATCTAAACTGTGGATCGATGTGAGCTTAAAAAGGCATCTCTGTAAACTCAGTGGAGACGGGTTTCAAACGACATATACTTATGCATGTATAACGTGCCGGTAATGTCATTCGTGAGATCGGTTTCATACCCCAACTTCACGCACTGTAAACTGATGCCATACTGCACAAAAATACCACAGCAGGTTTTTCTTTTCCATAAAAAATACGATCGAGTATATCTCTTAAACTAAAAAATTCATACAATCTATCCTGTCTTCCGCGCGTTTCCAATGGAAAGAAACGTTACCAGTACCATTTGATTTCTATACTATATACACCGTTCATGAATGTTTCAAATGCACCACTTGAATCCTGACTTGGAGATACTGATAGAAAGATGCGGGCATGAAATGGAAACGAAGTAAAATCCGTATAATTACCGCGTCTCCAGTCAACTGCAGCGATTACTACGTTGATGGGCGTCTGGTTTAAACTAGGAGTGGGTGTTTAAATCACTGCCGCATGGTAGTTTGTTATTTGACTATTTTAACAAAATGCCGCGATAGGTATACTTTTAATGTCACCAGTTAAGCATGTTAATTGGTAACGAATCCGGATGTCACGCATACCTTGCTACCCTCTTTGTAATTTGTTAAAATGCATTCACGCCAAAATATTGTTTTTAATGTGTACATGTTCGGTACTTACATTTCCTCATTCAGACCAATTAAAACTAATTAACCTCTCAAATAAAAGTACGTTTACGTTTCCACGTGAAAGGTACAGGAAGAACGCTACGGGAACGGGCATATTGAGAACTAGACTATTTAATTAAAAATGATATAAAACATCAAATCCAAGTGCAAAGTGCATGGGCGGATTGAGCAATGATCAGTGTGAGGGAGAAACATAAATATACCTTTTCTCTCGAGAAAAAAAATCTATTTGGCTGAAAAATGTCGGGTAGGATACTTTAAGTACTGAATACAATTAAGGCCCTTAGGTAGCGTCCAAAACATTTACAGGTTTTGGCCGCGGTCATAAAGCGAGTGGACTTAAACTATGATGCTTTCTCTTCTAAATAACACAGCCGTCATAGCCTGAAGACAGGCAACATCGAATTAAAAATGGCCTTGCCGCACTTTATGGCACTATATGGAATGCACACCGTATATTGAAAACCAACAGGGCTGACTAATCTCAAAAGCATGTGCTTGAAAGCAGCTTACTGCCGCTGAAACTCAACATTTCTCGTCTTGGTACTTACCCAACTCGATCCCTCCCAACAGAAACATCAGAACAGTAATCGCCAGCATCATGGAGCCAGTTGGTGCAGTGCAGTTTCAGTGACGGTCAATATTCCGATAATAACGGAGGCTCGGCAGCTGATGAACTGGTACGCCACTTAGCGTCTGCGCAGTTCAAGCCTGCTTCTACTTAGAGGGGTGCAAGCTATGTCGATACTTACCAGAATCAGCAAATGCAATAAATTCTACACTCACAATATAGCTATTGTTTAGAAATTCAAAACCATTTTAGTTAGATTTGAACAAAAATATACGTGTACAGAAATACATGTTTGACGTGTTAATTTTCATGACAGGACAACACCCCTCCTTAAAATGAAACAAACGGCGTACCATCTAAATCTACAACTAATAATACGAGTACAAACGTAAAAGCGAAAGTATATTTCAAAGGAAAATTAAATTGTTTTAACGTGTAAATACAAATCACACCAAGTTCAAGTCGTAATAGGTCTTTTGAGCAAACAGCAATGAGAAGTAAGTTTCAAACGAAAACATCCGGCCTCTTGACTCAAACTGTTGGGAATGTTTGTCGTATCACATGGGGAAGGTTTTACACAGGAAATTCAGCCTCCAAAGTTTAGACTAAGAGCGCATTCCCATAGATTTTAGATCGATCTATCCTCGTGGGAAGTCTCACTAGATTACTGCAGATAATCCGGCTTAAATGTCCGTCCCGCCTACTACAAGCTGTAAGGCGGTAATTAACTTTCGTGCCCGCTCGGCTGACTGCTATTTAGCGTGAACCCCCAGGGAGTTAGGTCGATCTAGTTGGATCGATGTAATCTCTGGGAATGGGGTCTTAGCGTGAACCCCCAGGGAGTTAAGTCGATCTAAATCTAAATATCTGGATCGATCTAAATCTCTGGGAATGCACACTAAGACTGGGTTCCTATGCCTCGATCGATCTAACAGGATCGGTCCATCTCCACGGTGTTTCTCGCTCAATTGCTTTCAGCTTAAGTGGCTTAAATGTCTGGGATGCCTACTTAAGCTGCTAAACGATAGTTAATTACCCCCTATCAGCTTCAGTGGGCGTACAGACATTTAAGCCGCTAAAGGTAATGGCAATATTAAGCGAGAATCCCCTTGGAGATAGTTCGGTACAAAGTTAGTACGATAGGGTCTGGAAATGGTCTCTTAATAATAATAATAATAATAAAAATAATAATAATAATAATAATATTTTTCAAGGGCGTAAGTTTTTAAACTGTAGTCATCACTTTTCAGATCTTTCCAAAATAGTTCCTCAATTTTATTGTTGATATTTTAACATAAGGAAATCTCCAATTAAATAGCACATGCATGTAATGTACTCCAGTTTGAAATTAATCCATACTAGTGCATCTATGTACAGTATGTGTAATTAAGTACTGAGTCCCAACAAGAGACGTCCACTGTATGTGATATACAAGCGTTTAATTACCGAGGCATACATACAGTGGACGCCGAGTAATTGTAACTGATTTATACCACGACTGGCGCTGCAAACAATAGGATGAACGCACCGAAGTTGAAAAAAGCGTGAGCCTGGTCTAAATACTCCTTACAACACGAAGCCGCCATTGTTTAAGATGTGTATGTAAGGGTGTAATTATTGAGTGAAGCCGAGATGGTTACACTCTCATATGTCGCATACAGTGAGAAACGGTCGCTGATTCGGTGATTAAATTGTTTAGAGTACAGAGCTTTGTTAGTATCATATTAACTTTTTTTTTATTTTCATTTAAGTTTTATTTTATGTAATTTTCACCGCGGAGGAGATGGAGGAGAGCGTGGCCTTTTCACAGCTTCTTGCCTCTTGCGCCTCGATATAATTTTGCTCTTGTATGCGGCACACGGTGGACGACACGTGTTATAACTAGTACATACATTCTTTCATATTTAAAATCGAGCATAATATCATTTCCCTTCAAGTGTCCTTGCTACCACTGATTTATCTTGCCTCAAAGTCGACTAAAATTTTGGCCTGAAAGAACTTATAAAATTTTGGTCTGTAGATTATTTTTGTGCAACATTTCTTCGAGTTCATATCAGCGTTTCATAAAAGCGTTCAAACTGATGATATCTTAGACCAATAGTTGCGTTATTTTAGTATGCAGACACAACTACAGATAATTTACTAGATAGAAGAACGGCAGGATCTCGCTGCGAGTACTGTGCAGCTAAATGTAAAGGCTGGGCCACACTGTGCTTGCAACCTTTTGGCAACCTTTTTGCAACCACAAAATCTGGCGGTGGCTTGCGATTACTTTGCGAGCTAAATAGGAAGCTTTGGCATATATTTTGTCGAGCACCGTTTGCCAGAAGGATGCAGTATGGTACCCTCTACCAGGGCCGCATTCTGTGGACATTTTTGCTGTGGCGACAGTACAGAGATTAGTCATCTATTTAACCAGAGACATATCTCCTAATATCTAGTGAAAAATCAATCTGTGGCCCTGGTAGAGGGTAGCAGTTTGGTAACTTAACCTCTGAAGACCACTTTCAAGCTGTAGATTACCAGTTTGCCAAGCTATACACTGTCAGCAAACACTTGATAATCAAAAATCGTTTGCAGGACCGTAGCAATCGATTGCCTATTGATAACCACAAGGTCGCACAGATCATACATATTGCAAACATTTGGCGGTAGCTGCTTTCACATCAATTCCCCTCTCAGAATACAAGAAAAATGTTCTAGTAAAGTGACACCTTCACAAAGAGCAGGGAACGTGTTGGCTGCTGTAATACGTGGGAGTCGGCTTAGTTTTTTTTAACGCATTTTGTTCATTTTACTAATGTGAGAAGACAAACCTTACTATAGCTTAATATCACCTTGGTTTTGCAACCAGCACTGCAATCATAAAAAATTATTAATTACCTCTGCCAAGGAGGTTATGTTTTCCCCCCTGTTTGTCTGTCTGTCTGTCTGTCTGTCTGTCTGTCATCAACATAACTAAAAAAATGAAGGACTGATTTTGGTGAAATTTTCAGGGTAGGTGGGAAATGGGTAAATTTAGAAGTGATTAGTTTTTGGTGTTGATACGGATCAATAATCAATCAATAATTATTAATAATAATAATAAAAATCGCTGCCTTGGCGGAGGTCTGCACTCTCGGAGTGCTTTTCTAGTTTGAGTAAGTTGTAATCCTTATTAATCTTCACATATCCCTTAATGGTATTTTGCTTCAGTGCTTGGTTTCTTTGAGTTCTAATGCCTGTGCAGCTACGGTCACACTGAACAAAAAACCTCTTTGCGACTTGCAGCTATCACCAGTTGCTAAAACTAGCAAAGTGGTTTCTTAAAGAACGCGTGGTTTATATCTAGTCACGCCGATTTCGGTGCAGCAACAAAAACATGCAGGCGACCAAAAAAAAGTATTTGTGGTATCAAATCGGTTACCAGTGGTTCGCCGATTGATTTGCAACTAGTATGCAACTGATTGTGCGGTTTTCTCTTTGTCTCTTTTGCTTCAAGCGTTTACCACTTACAATACAACGTAATTGAATCGTTACAGCTCGTGTTCATCGTGTACGTTTTACATTCTCATCTTTGCGGTGAGGATACCAAGCACTGGGAGGATTATTTATTGTATTTACTTAAACAATTTTATTAGGGTTTTTGGATATTTTAATGATTTGTTATATAATTTGTAGATAATACGTTAATGGATAAGAATTATGCATTGCTGATTAGATAATTTTCATTTTCTCTGCATTAGTCTATTTGCTGCATTGTTTACTCAGATAATTTGGCTTTGCAATTCTTAAACGAGATACAGCGATGAAACATTAGGGCGAAAGATTAATTTATACAAATATGTCTTGAGATAAATACATGTAGACAGTCATTTTAGGCTTTTTGAAATTTGCCTATAATACCCCCCCCCCCCCCCTGGTAGAGGGTACTAGTGGTAGGTGACTGGTTTCAGTCTGGTTATAGCGACCTTCTGCCAACCAAGAGGAGACCGATAAGCAACATCTGGAATACCGATAGTTTTCATCTTCAGTCGCACTGGTGGTCAGTGCACAGAAAACTGCCTACATGTGTCAGCAATCGCGACCACTTAAAAACCTATGGCAACTTCCTTGCGATTGAGGTTGCTGAAAGGTTGCCAAAAGATTTCAATCGCAGTGCGACCCAGGCTTAAACCAACTATGTTCCTTTTTGCTACGGTTCAGAGGATCGGTCTATGTGCGGAGCTACTCAGGTTTTAATACACTTGTGTGAACGTGCTGGACATACCGGTAGATAACCTTTGTATACAGGTGCATATACAAGAACAGGTGCGCTACATCCTCTTTTTATTTGGCGTGGTTCTACCAGTACTAAGTCGCATTATAAGGGTTATATAACTAAACACAGTAATGGATAGCGTGTCATAACCACTTAAGCTGAAATGTTAACTCTAGGGGTATATATCAACTTGATTTACATATACAACCACAAATGCAAGTGGACATTGAATGTGAACCACAATGTGTATTATACCTGTTACCAGACCATGAAATGGGTTCATCTTTCATCTGAGGTTGACACCGCAGACCAAAAAAATCAGCACTGTGTCATATTTGGTGTCCAAAACTTAATTAATATAAA